TTCGACCAGCTCGGGGCCCTGAGGAGCTTTCACCTGACCTTGACCCGAGGTCAACACCTTAACACGCGCAGTGGAAGGGGGGGGGGCGGATTTCGCCCACCACTCCTGTTTTTCGCCAATAACTCGCGCCGCAAACATAATATTAATGTGAAATTTCGACTACCTGTCCATAATTGAATTGCAGATCTTCTCGTGCAAGAAATAAGAAAATCAGTTCGCAACTTTTCTAGTAATAGCGGTGTAAAGTCAAACATCCTGCCGCCGCGGCGGCGCGGCGGCGCGGCGGCCGGCGCTAGCCGTTACGCGCCGCCTGAATTGTAGACTGTGCCGGGGCGGGACGGTTCCGTCTTTACATCGCGCTCCTTACCGCTGATTATATTAGATTCGCGACAAATTCGGTGAGAAGACTGAGAAATGTACAGGCAATCATATGGTCAAAGAATTTTGAAAATCGTCCGGTAACAACTTGAGTTATGAGTGTGTAAACACAAAATTGTGATTGCCGCTTTTCCCGCGTCGACCGATCCCTCTTCAGCCGGCGACATCTTACCCTTAGCAGGCTTCTAACTGCCATATTTATTGTTGGATTATCTAGAAATTCACCATACATATATGTACATACTCACAAATGTTTGTTCTTTCGTATAGTGAAAGAAAAAAGAAAATCGACCGGTAACTTTTTGAGTTATTGGCGTGTAAACGCAAAAAAGTCGCTCATATGGCAGATTTGCCCACATTTGACCTCATTTGACCTTGAGGACATTGACCTAGGGTCATGAAATTCACACACAACAGATCTCCTCATGACCCTCACCTACCCTCCAAATCTCGTCTTTCTAGCTCCAGTGGGAGCTGAGATCTTAGGGGAGGCATCATCGGCCCCCCCCCCCCCCCCGCCTTCCACTGGGCGTAGTACTCGCAACCCTTCCACTGCGCGTGTTAAACCTCGCCCCGCTGGGGGGGGGGGGCAATTTGGCCCCTGTGGTTTTTCCTGAATAGCAAGAAAACGGCGGCGCTGTGCGCCGCGAAATTTTCAGTTCCTTCCCGGGCATCAATTTGACACCTTCACACAAATTTCAAGTCTTAGGTCACCTTAAAGGAAGACTGCCACCTTCAAAAAGTTTTCTCAGATCGGCCTATGATTTATTCCCTGGACAAAACAAAATTTTATAATTCACCTGACAAAGTATCATCACGTGAATCGCGAAAAAAATTGTCGATTATCATACAATTATCAATCGGTTAATGTCTAGCGACAATGTTTACACATCACTAGACTTCAAGGTCATAAGATTATTACATTTTATTTGAAAAAGTAAGGTATTTTATGATTTACTAATATATGATTTCATAAGAAATTGGCCATGTTTCATTTATTTTGCATTTAAGTTCGTAAAACATTTAAAAATCATGGCTCATTTGGAATGGGTCTGGCCCATGTTAAACCCCATTTCTCACACTTTTTTGGAAAAAAATGAATTACTGAATATATAAGTTTAACTTTTATTTTGACACTCCAAAATTCTTCTCTGATCTCGAAACAATCAAAGTTTTGACATATATTTACCAAAAGATAAGAAAATTCATGTTTCAAAGTTATCGATAAACAGTAGAGATGTCGGTTTTCTTGGACTAAAAAAATGGCATCAAACTGAACTTTGGTCTCCGATTTCTCGCAAACGGGTTCGAATTTCGGAAAACCGACTTCAGTCTGGGACATAGGTGGCTCAGCTCTAGTGAAAACCGTTTTGTGGAAAAAAGGTGGCAGTCTACCTTTAAGTCAGGATTTATTGACGTCAAACTGATGTCATGTTCGAGCAAAAATGAGCAAAAAACATGAATTCTTGAAACGCTCACAAAAACTACAGTTATCAAGCAATTTCAAAGTTCTTTATACGATCATGTAGACAAAAAGCGGCGCTACAAAACTGTTTTATCGGATTTTCAAAATTTTTGGATTTTGCCCCCACAAAAATTCAAAAAAATTGATTTTTTAGAAAAACGCGAAAAAATTCCAAATTTTTCCCGAATATCTAAAAATTGGAATACATGTGATAGTCCCCAACCTCTTCTATCTACATACCAAATTTTAGATCGATAACTCCTTTTTTGGCCAGGTTATAGCAAAAACTGTTCAAAATTGATGACGTACTAATCAATCTTACAACATCATTGCTTACTCCATTGCCATGCACAGTGCACACACAGAAATATTGAGCGGAAAAACGGTGTAATTGAAAGTACCAAAAGGAACATTTTTTTGGTGTAAAATTACTCCGTTTTCTGCGTAAAAGAACACTTATATGTGTGTTTTGCTAGCTTCGGAGTGCTTCACTATCGTGTAGGAGAACCGCTTTCAGTGTACCTTTACCGCGGGTCTCGCGTTACATTTACGCACCAATATGTGTTTTTGGTAAAAAGTACCAAAAGGAACACTCGCGTGGTAATCGTACACAAATTCATGGCGGTAAATTTACACAAATATGACGGTTATTATAACGATTTTTTTTCTGGTAAAGCTAATGTTGGGCCCGCAAAATTTGTAACGCAAGCGACACACGGCGGGACGTTGTCGCCAGCCGCGAGCCTTAGCTAAATGCAACGAAACATTGTGATGCTCAATGCCTACCCCATGCTGCAAACACGTTTGTTTGTTTGTCGTTTATTATTAAGAATCGACATGACATCTGACGGAAATAAAAGTTAGATTAGCGTATATACCTTATGATGTATATAAGCTGATATTTCACAACGCATGGGCGCCGCTACAGGCCGCAGCCACCGCCCGTCTCCCGTCAACTGCCCGTAATTGATAAATAAAAAATATGTCATCTGTATGCACTATAACTTCACTGTGCCAAAATTATCGTTCATTTAATTAGCCATCGGCTCTCTGTTGCCTATCTGGCAAAATATTAGCATACCTATACCTAATTAACCCTAGAAAAGCATGAAAGTGCATCCATTATTTTCATAACACGACAGCAGCTCAGTTGAAAAATTACAAGCCCACCTTAGCACTCCGACAAAGCTGGATAATTTCCAGCAGCTCCTCCAATGTCGCTCCGCTTCAGATTTCCGACTCGGTCTTGATTGCAGTTATCAGACGATGACCACAATGCAGTATTTCACTTATTATTCACTTATTCACTCATTACTCAGCCTATTATCCAACTAGATAAACACCACAGCACTTTTTTATCTCACTGATGTCACAAGAATGGGCAAACTCACTCTGCGCACTGCAGCCACAACACTCCCCCGCCGGCCCCCGCGGTCCCCGGCGCACAACTGACAGATTGCGAAAATGGCGCCGCCGCCGTCAGCATTTAGCTCAAAATTTCGCTAAATTTACACGGGTTGACGTAAACGAACGGTGCTCTGGATGTGTACCGCAATTACCAGTGTGACACAACACTCATTCGCTTATGGATACACTTGCTTTGCATGAAAACATATCAGTTAGGTATTTGAACATCTGTTATGCTGTTACATTATCCTGTTTTGCGTAAAGATGCTTGTGTGGTGTAATAAAACTGCCGATGTTTGTTAGTTTACCAATAAACGTCGTATAAAAACAAACTTATTCTTGATGCCTTTACTTATTATGGCGTTGTGCGACGGATACCTTGCTTGTTTATCACGTAAATACTTAAACTAAAGATATTTTACTACGTGAAGCAGAACTTTGAAGCTATTTGAACTATTTACGAGTATATTGAACTTGACATCGCTCAATATTTCTGTGTGTGTGCGCAATTAGAAACAGAAATATATATGTATATCCCACTTTCTACCGATCACCCGAGGCCTTTGTGATTCGGATGCGAATGCAATATTCGGACATGTCTCACCACACAGACTCACAGAGCGAGTGTTGCCAGAGCGAGTGTTGCAGTGTTGCCAAAGTGCGGCCCCGGCTCTCCCCGTAACCGATCTGTGCCACTCGGAGTGTCGTGTGTGCAGGGACCGTGACGGGAACAAGGCCCGGCCTGGTGCACGTAGCACACCAACAGGTCAGTGACGGAGATCAGGCACGCTCTCTGACGGAGCAGCGGTGGCATTGCAAGTTCCGGGGCAGCCGTGCTGTCTATATTGTGAGCTGTAACCCATCGCAATGGTCAACGATGGTCAGGGGAAACCGCTCTTTTTTATTCACGTCCCAAGCTGGTGGCTACCCTCCACTATTCAGCTGATACACGGGTGGCCCCTGTTGAATGAAATATATACTTTTGATCATTTTTTTATCGCCCGTCTCGCAGGATGGGCCCAGTCGCGGCGGTGGACCAGTGCGGTGCAGTGGGTCGTAGCCATCAGTCCTACCCTACTGACTATCCTCTCATAGCTCCAAAAGGCCCAAAATGGTCGAAAGTGGCAAAAAAAAATTAACCGCAGTACTTGTCTTCAATCATTCCTTCACTCCTTTTTCTTGCGGGGCGCAAAGCCCATAGTCAATCAGGAACAAAACAGCGAAGAGTTTTGTGCCTGCCACTTGCCATGCTTTCAAGACTGCATGTGCATACCTATAACATACCTACTCTATATCCCTTTGTTGGCTGGCATGGTCCATAGTATCGTATATTTTGCTTTCCGAACAATTGCCGCCTTTCATTCTTTTGACAGGGATTGTCGTATCTGTCGAAGTATCATTGTGCGGTTGCACAAATCCCACTTCTTATTGCTCAAAGTCCGAAATTCAAAGTCGATACTATCTCAACGAACGCAATATTATGCAATCACCCGTTCAATCCACTCGGCCAAGTGGCTCGATGTTTTAGGGCCAAATGATTTCTCAAGGAACATTGCTATTGTTTTTATCTCTGATATAAACTGAGAGTAGCATTTCATGTATCAAAAGCATCACCAATATCTTCAATCGGCCGCGGCGTCTCCGCGCGTGCGCGATCCGCGATATGACGTCACACGGCGGCCGGCGGTGACGTCACGTGGGCCGGGGCAGCGCGGCTCCGGGAGAAAGGCCGCCTTTGCGACACGGCCCGAGTTCCTGTTCCCATTCGGTGGCGAGCGGACGGCGCCGCGCGGCGGAGCGACAGTGCAGGCGCGATGGCCGCCGTCTGAGTGTCCGAGTGCCGCGTGGTGTGAGTGCCCTGAGTGAGTGCGGACTGAGGTGGGGAGTACAGGATGGCACGGTGGTGCGGGAGGATGGCCGAACTGCCCGAGTGCCGCTGGAAATCCAGCCGGCACTCCTGGACACTCGTGCTCTGCTGTGGATTGGTGCTACTCCCAGGTGAGTCGCGGGCTAAGCACAGGAGTGCCACCTCTGCCTGTATTAGGACGAAATAGTCTGATCCTACATGCATGAAAAACATGTGCTCAAATGTATAACATGACCTATATTTGGCCTAAATATAGGACAATCGGGTAGCGAAAGTCGAAAATTTGAATTTGGCATTTCAAACATAGGTACACCGGTACTCAAAGTAAAGCTATCTCAAACTAGGAGCTCGACTCTTCCAACATTTATGTCACCTTCACGTCGCGGGTGAACCAAACAGCTGACCTGCCTCCATTAAGCGCACGGCCCTCATAATCGATACCTCATTACCATTTGGAGTCCGCCGCCCGTGCATAACACGGCTGTCAGTTTATCGGCTGCCTCTGAACGGCCACCATTGTTCTATCTCTGCGCCGACCCCGAGCGAGCATAGAGAGGAGAAACCTGGCCGTCCCGTCGGTCCCGGCTGAGGAGGCCGGCCGGCCGCTCCGACCTGGAGGCCGCCATCCAGCTCGCCGTACCGCTGACCCCATTACACACAGCTCGGCTCTCCGGGCTGGAGGCGGCCGAGGAGAGGCTGGACAGGCTCCGCTGGTAGTGGGTGTTACGGAGGGCTAGCGACGGCCGCGGAGAAGCTGGTCAGGCTCCACTGTTGGAGGGTGGGTGTTAGCAGGCTCCACTGGTGGTGCAGGCATTAGTGAGCGCTAGCAGCGGCCGCGGGAGAAGCTGGACAGGCTCCACTAGCCGTGATGAGTGTTAGCAGTCTCCAATGGTGGAAGTTGTAAGCGTGGAGCGTCCGGGCCGATTTCTACCTGTGATTGCACCAGTTGCTCCAACGGGGCACGGTGGGTCTTTTTTTTCTTTTTCTTTTTTCGATAATATACATTTATTACACTCAGATCATCTCATCACATTCACAGTCATCCGACATCATCCACTCCAATGATGCGCCACCAGTGGCTCATCAGTCGTTTCATCAGCTGCCTCAGCTGGCACGACGCGCAACGACAACTCCCCCCAACAGCTCACGGTGGGTCGTGTTGTCCTTCCTCAGATGGATCGCCGACAGGATATACCGGTTACCGTTTGTCAGATAACACAACTAGTGCGAGACGAATGCCGCTCTTCCGCTCGTTGAAGCAGGCAGTGATGCGTCAACTCAACTGATGTTGATTAGGGGAAATCCTCCGCTAATGAGGCGGAATAGCGCCCAACAAACCATGAAACCTACATATCGAGAGCTCAGAGTACGGAGTTCAGCTGAATTCTGCTCAGATAACCGGACTCCGGCTGGATGCAGACCTCTGGAATCGCGGTCACGTCCGGCGTCACGGTCACCGGTGCCGGCGGGGTCCGTCACGTGTGACTTTGTGAAAGTGTGCGCCGGCCTCGCGCAAACACCGTCCGTGTGCAGTGACCGGCGCGGGCGGCGGAATGACGGACTGGGCTGGTCGGTATGCCGGAATGATGTCGATGTGTTCGCCATAGCCCAGAGTGATAGGATATGAATCACTGAAATGTCTGCGATGAATAGCATGCTGAAAACTTGCTTGGATGGCTCTTTAAACTTCAGAAGACTCTATGTAGTAAGCTGTTGTGCTCATAATGACATGACTGATCAGACGGCAAATAACTCACCACCACGCAGCTGTGAGGCCGCTGAGGTGGTATGTTCCTATGCGGAGTTGCATTCCCCAAATACCTACCAACACTGCGTTGCAGTCTCCGCATAACGTCCACGGTCTAGCAACAGTCTGCAGTGCGTGATTATATCAATCGCTGGAAATTACGCAATCTTAAATGAAACTGAATGCTTCCACAACAATTAATTTTGAAACAAAAATGCCTTATCATGCCTGGATTGTTTGAACGGGCCTCTAGTCCCTTGTTTATACCTACATTGGTGCGATGCATTGTGATCACGATGCATTCAGATTGCACAGCCAGCGGAGATCTATGAAGACACCCAATGAAAAATTGCTAATAATAAGGCCATGGTCCATGTATCTGCAGTGCCCCAGCCACTTTCACGGTTGATCTGAACCGGTTGGTCCAGTTAGCTGACCCAGGCGAACTCGACAGGAGAAACTCAATCGCTATGGCAATGTTTTCTGGGTAAGTCTGTTTCTAATTTGGTCCATGGTGCTTCAGTTCCGTTGGGAGCAAACGGCTCCTTTTACGGATTTCCAGCAGAAGTGTTTCTACAGAATGAGTTCTGCTCCTGACTGTCATTCGTGACACGTCTGTTGCATAGGTCTTAATCAAGACAAAGCGGCATCCGTACCGCACCCGGTGACTGCCCCACTCCTGCAGTGAGGTCCTGTACTCGCCCACATACCCAGTGACTGCCTCACTCCTGCAGTGACGTCCTGTGTTTGTACCCCACTCCTGCAGTGAGGTCCTGTGTCCGTACACACGCGCCCACAGCCGGTGTGGCGGCGCCGGCGGCGTCATCCGTCACCGATGAGGGATGACTCAGTGCGCCGGCGGCCGCCAGCCGGTGACCGAGTTTCGGCCGGGCGACGTCCGCCGCCGGCCGACCGATGGTGTGTATTGGTCGCACCATAATTCGGGCGGCGGCCGCCGGCAACAGAAAACAGTGGGCCAGCCGGTTGTGTATTGGATTTTCTTGTTAGTGGGAATGGAGCTGACTACGGGTGTGGTACCAAAACCGGACCATGTGACGTGGGATTAACGTTCTCTGGTTTTCACTATTCGTTGACCAACTAATCGGTCGAACTCAATTCGTCATCCATCCATATATATAAATATAACGATTTTAAAAGCAGATTTTTTAGAGCTTTCATCATATTAGGGCACATTATCGTCAACAGCATTCCATTTTCCCCAGCTTTCAAACTGAATTAATGGCTTCCCTCAGGACCCCGGTATTTTGGCCACATTTTAGCTCTGTAATGCCCTCCGATTCCCGATGACCAGCCCTGCAGCTGCTCCTTTAGATGCCACCCCACCACGTCGGTAGTGAGCCACGTCGCCCTGTTCTGCGGGTCGGGCCACATCAGCCGCACAAAGCCATGTGAAAGTAGCTGCCGAATACCATTGTAGCAGCCAGGCGTGTCCGCCGCCGACTCGGCGCCGTGGCGGCGTCTGTATGCTCTGTCTTGTACAGTAGAGTAAGGAAACTATGGTTCATCCGCACTCAGGGCAGGATCGGATCGGCCGAAACCCAGATGTAGTCTCGCTTCAGGAACGAGAGACGGAAAATCTATCTCGGTTTCTTGCTCTCCCTCCCACACGTTCAGTGTGAATTGCTCTGAGCCACTTCACAGAGGAAATTTCTGTGTTCGTGTGAGTGTTCGGCGGGCGTACGACCACGGCTTTCACGGTGGTTTGAACAGGATGCGTCCCCCGATCACGCTATGCTGTGGTTATCGGTGACACTGAATGGTACCTTTCTCAGACGTGTGTGTGTTATTTCCAAAAGTCGAGTTCAACTTTACTCCACACGGCAGCGCTACAGGCTGCAGGGAGGTCTTTTACCGCTGGCGTTGGCACGATATATGTAAGTGGGCGTCTTGTTTGTCTCGCTCGCGCCACCCCACGCCGCACGCGCTGTCAGCTGAATAGTTATGATCCGCATTCCAGTAGAAATAAGGCGCACAAACAGCCCGAGAGAGGTCACGGCCGAAACAAAGGGACGCACTGCATGACTTTTTCCTGCCTTCTAATGACGTGTCGTTTTTTGGCTTGTATTTTTTGCTACAAACGAGCTGTTCTATTGACCTTTGCACTGCCTGCTTGACCTACGGTCGACAACCCTGGCAGCCGTTTCGGTCTGCTGTTCACTCACACATTCCGTCGAGTATCCACCTTTCCGCCGGGATTGCTCCTCGCTGTTATCTACACGGGCTGGCAAACACCGTCCCGTGAGCGGTGCGCTCCTGTTGTTTTCCTCAGGTGGGACGGCAGGGTGCCGAGCTGGGTCGAGCTCCAGGTGCAGCGGATAATTACCGGTCCCGGGCCGGCGTGGTGCCCGGGCCGGCTTTTGTCCCGCGCCGTCTGCTCCCCTATAGGGGCAGGATGTAGGTCTCCGGGATTAGACTGGAGAGCGTTCCCCTCGAGGACGGGCAGTGGTCCGGATTCGGCGGTGAATTACCCCGCTGAATGTGGGCCACATGGGGAAGGGAACGGCAAGGGGTGAGTTTCAAGGTCGGCGTTCCGAGGACCGGAGGTGCTGAAAATATGTAACATTCAGCGAACGATGCTGCGACCATACACAAGACCGCTCAATATGAGAGCTTTGAGTTTTGAGTATGCATTATACAAATTAACCAGCTTTGAAAATGAAAATAACCATTGCAGTAGCAATGAAAGTTTTGCGCTTACGTTGCAGCATATCGGAATGTTATGGGTTGCTATTGAGCGGAAACGCTGTCCCAAATGGATTTTACGTTGATCTCTCACACACTTTTCTCACACCATAGCACGCTGATTTCATTTTGACTCATCCAGTCCCTAGTATCACTATACGGGATACAACTGTTCCCATCCCTCAGCACTGCAGCCCTTGCCGCAGCCCGTGTCACGGGCTCCAGGTCACGTCCGCTCCAGTCAGAGGTCAGAGCGACTCTCCGAGGTCAGGATATCGGCCGGACTCGTGACCCGGCGGCGGCGGAACGGCCGGAGAAAGTCGAGCTCGCGAATCAGTCGTGCGTCAAACGGTGTTTGCACAGGGTTCACCAGAATGGGAGATCTCCCGATAAGTGAGACACACTGTGAATGTCATGTTTTCTGGGTGCAGCATCTGTGACAGAACACGAGCAGTGCTGCTTTGTTGTGGGCAGATGATGTTGTTCACCATGACACGAATATGGATCGCTCATCATTTCATGAATGCCGCGCGCGTCTTACTTTGGGTATACGAGTATATGCTACCGCTTGGTTATTTCAGCGGTACGTGCGATCTATAAAAGTATGTCTTTTTCCATTTTTCCGGGCCACCAAGGCTCAGTAAACAAAAAATACTCATTACTGTTCCATGCTCATAAGTT